CCTTAGAACTGAAGAAGCTTCTCAGATGAAGGTGAAACGTCTTCAAGCAACTTAAAGACGTCCAGACGCTTTTCTTTGCAAGCTCCTTCGACTACGATGACCTGGATGACTGAGAACCTTCACAGACTTATTGCCATGCTGTGTTTAACACAACAGCGCAGTTGGTCAAATGGTTATTAATCAGACCCTCCACGTCCTCCATCGCTCCATCAGTTAATGTAATTTTATATTCAGTGAAGGTCCAGAGGTCAGAGGTTACGCAGAAAATTGTGCCGTTCGCTTTGTAAAGTACAGCCAGGAAGAATCTGCTCTGATCCCAGATTTATGAGTTTTATTCTGCTGCAGTCCTCACATGTTACCTGTGGCAGGTTAAACGCCCACAGTCCTGGAAGCTAACAGCATCACTAACAGTAACTCTTCACTTTGATCGGCTCCTTCTGACTCGGTCTGAACTTAAGTCAAAGCTGCTGCCTCGGTGTGACTCAGAGTGTGGTGAAGAGCAGAGGAGGCTCACGGTGGGGCTGGTGCTGTTCTCAGTCACATCCCTGAACCTGCTCCAGGACCCACTAAACAGATCCAGTGCTCTGAATGCAGCTGTGATGCCTGAGTGTGAGGACAAGTGTCTGAACATTTGTACCCGACAGAAGCTCTCAGTGAGTTTGCTCAAGATCATAGTTTCATTGTTTTAATAAGCAGGTTCTCTTTAAGCCTGCAGAGCCCAGCAGAGTCCTGATTGTTGGACCTTGTGACAAATTAAAAGCCTCAAATCAATATCTGTTCGCATATCTGAGTTTTAATTTGTATGCAACTTCCGGCACTTTTATTTCGGTTTTTCCCGAAAAAAATGGCACTGATGACGGAGAGGCGTCCTCAGACACACCTGACGTGACGGTCAGAGGGAAATCTGCTCTGTGAAACGTCACGAACGCTGGAGCCGCCGTGACGTCACGGACTGATTTCGGAGGAGTTCTTAAGAGTGGGGGCGGGGCTCTGACTGTGGTCGCTCATTGGCTAGCGGCGGACCCGCTGTTAGCCAATGAGCGCAGTCCTGATAAACCTTATTTCTGTCAAATAATACGATAAATATTTACGGAATTTGTATCGAAATGAGCGCGGAGTCGCGAGTTCTTCGGTCACGTGGTCAGAGGTCCACTCACTTCCGCTCTGGCGCATCATCCGGAAGCGGCTTCCATCGTCGGTGTTTCCAGGCTTCTACGGCTTTAAAGTGGAAATCCGACACGGAACTCCCGGTTTCCAACTTCCGCCTTCACACTTCAAACAGCGCGCGGCAACGTCCCCGGTCCGCGTGATTCAGTGCGAGCAGACACGCGGACGGACCGGAAACAGAATAAAGCTCCGTTTACCTGCGTTTACACGCCGTGTCAGTCACACCGCTGTTCGCTCTGAAGGCTTTGATGTGCAGGCAGTGTGACGCATGTACTCACCTGAGAGAACAGCTGGAACACAGCTGACTGCTGCTGGCTTCAGAGCGGGAACTCTTATTCTTCCTGCCGAACTCCGCTTATATATGCTCAGCTTATCTATATATACCTTTCCAAAAATACCACTTTACAGCCCCACCCACCCCGCGATAAGCGCCCCCATCGTCTGGTTCTGGACAAGAAACCAGAACAATGAAAGATGTGATGCAGGCAGTGTTGGAATATGACTCACAAAAAGTAATCTATTACACATTAGTCTTTTATTAAAAGTAATGGAGTCTGTAGCTGCTAGAGAAAGTAATCTGTTACATCATGTACCTGTAACGGTGTCAGAACGACAGAAACCTGAGGCTGCAGTTCTGTCATTCCTATCCACATCTCCCCTCCTAAAGCTCCACCATGCTCCACTTCCTGTCTGTCAGCCTCACCTGTGCTGAAGTACTCTCACCTTTGACCCTTTGAGTCGGGCTGATATTTGTACATGAATTTAAACCACTCTCAGACACAGAGAGACACTTCGAGACAGCCAAACTCTGACACATTGATACTTCCTCTTTTCACAGTTAAACATAGTTTTTCTCTGAAACTGCAGCTGCACTGATGATGTGCGAGTTTTAATGATGTTCGCAGCACAATGGCGATAAAGAGCAGGAGGTCTAATCTTTGGGTTGAAGTGACCTCGGCTGCATCCCTTACATGTTGCCTGCCTCGTTCCTATTTCATTAGAGTTTAGTTTCAGTGAATCCTCTCTCATCATGTCCTTTTCAAACTCCTCATTCACCAGCTGAAGGCTGAAGATCAACATGATGTGATGTAAACATGTTATAGGTCAGCTGATCTACATGCACACAGTAAAATTGACTTTGTTTACAGGAAAACGACTCATTCTGGTGTGTTACGGTGATATTAAGCTGTCGTATTCCTGAGGTTCCACTTTTCATGCCGAGGTTTCTCCTTGTTGTAATGAACGACATAATGTGACTAGCAGTGTCGTACAGGGTGGCGAAGCGGTAGCTGGTGGTTCAGAGAGTCGATTAGAAAGATTGTAGTGATGAAAAATTAAATTAATTTAAAGTGTGTGATGTGACGTGGCTAATCATTCTGCTCTGCACGTCTGCAGGTACTGTGCACTGCTGCAGCAGAAGGAGGAATGGGAGGAGCATGAGGGGCGTGGCCTAAAAGAGAAGGAGGAGCTAAACCTGGAGATCCAGAAGAACCGCCTCCTGCAGCAGGAAAACCTCCAGCTGAAAACAGATGTGGACAGGTGATGTGTTTTCACACACAGACTGTATAGCAAAGATGGACAATCATGACATCACGCATTAGGTTCTGATGTTCTGAAGCCTCTGTGTTAGCGTTTTCTCCTCCATGTTGGTTCCAGAAGTGACCATGTTTGGATGAGAGGGCGGAGCTACCAGCTGATGCTGCTCATCAGAGCTCAGTAACAGCCAATGAAAACCCTCGACAGCAGCCAATGAGCACAGACTTTAAACTGTTCACCTTCTGCTTCCATCTTCAGACTCTCCGAGAGCCAATCACAGCAGGCGGAGCAGAGCAAGGGGCTCCAGCAGCGACACAACGAACTCAAGAGCTCTTTAGGCTCCGCCCAGCTGGAAGTGAGTCAGTGGATGGCGCGATACGATTCGCTGATGGAGCAGCACCAGACGCTGGATCTCACCATGACCAAACTAGACAACCACTGTGAGGTAAGCGCACGTTTTTCTGAAACGGCTGATTGACTGCAGCGTGGTCACCGCCTCCTCCGTGTGTGCGCCCAGCTCCTGAGTCGCCTCAAAGGGAACCTGGAGGAGGAGAACCACCACCTGCTGAGCCAGATCAACCTGCTGAGTCAGCAGAACCACGCGCTGCTGGAGAGGAGCATGGAGAGCAAGGAGCTGTACCACCAGGAGCAGAAGCTCTACATGTGAGTGCTCGTCAGCCGCCGCGAGGTTCAGGTGACGCCCTGCAGGACGAGCTGATTGCTGACGAACGCGGTTCATCCTCAGCTGTCAGTCGGTGCAGTCCTCACATCTGTGTTTAGCTTTTACGTGACTGCAGGCGCACACCTGCAGGCGCACACCTGCAGGCGCACACCTGCAGGCGCACACCTGCAGGCGCACACCTGCCATCTCATCAGCAGGTTGGAGCATCTAAATCAGGGGTGTCAAACGTACGGCCCGTCTCATCTGGCGGTGAGATAATTTCATGTCAGTTATTGATGGCCGTCAGTGTGGGGGAGTTGAATCGTCAGCCCTGCTGAGAATCCTCGCAGGGAGGGGTGGGACATTGTTTTGACGGGCACACCATGCGGCAAATCACATGCAAAGACAGATTGGGATCATACCATTATGTGAAGGAAGGGGGCAGGCGAGTGTAGTGGTACGGGCCAGGTACACAGACACAAGCGTGTCGGGGGAACGCGAAGAAAGAGTGAAAACGTAAAATGAGCAGTTGTCTGTGTTTGAGTGAAAAGCTGAGGACAGAAATCATGAGGATTGTCCTGAAATCTCACGTGTTCTCGCTGGTAGCAAGAAATCCATAAAATAAGATAAAAATCAGCTCCTTGAAAATAAAACTTTCAGTGACAGAAAAACAGCTGAATCTGTAACGTCTGACAGGAAGTTGCACTGGTGTGTGGGCCGCCAGACATAAAGTGAGTTTGACACCGCTGATCTAAACTCCACCCGGCGCCGCGGTGCCGTCAGGGATCACAAATGTGACGATGTCTGTCTGTCTCGTCAGTGATAAGCTGAACGCTCTCCGTCGTCAGAAGGAGAAGCTGGAGGAGAAGATCATGGACCAGTACAAGTTCTACGACCCCACGCCTAAAAAGTAAGTCCACACTTCACAGCATCAGCTGTTGGGTATCCATACGCATCTACAGACCAAATCCCAGAGTCCTACTCAGCGCTCACGCGTGCTCCAGGTTTGTCCCACCTGTGACAAACAGCGGCTGCAGGTTTCAGAAACATGAAAGAGCCAACGTGCTCGTGGAGGTTTGATTTTTCTAGGAGGTTTTTTTAAAGCGCTTTGAGGCGACTGTTGTTGTGATTTGGCGCTCTACAAATTGAAAGAGTGACGCCGTTTCCTGCTTTGTCGTCCAATCAGAGCCCTGATTGTGTTTAAAAGTGCGAGTGCTCACTGTGTTGCAGGTCTTGATTATCGATTAAGCGTGCTGCTGTGTGTTGCAGGAGGAGTCAGTGGGCCGGAGCCAAAGCGTTAGTCAAGCTCATCAAACCCCGAAAGGAGAGCAGCCGGGAGAGGGGGGCCGAGAGGGAGCGGACCAAGAGCGCCCCGGACATCCCCCTACCAGCCACGCCCCCCCTCCTGCCCCCCGAGACCCCGCCCCCTCCACCCCAGAGGACCCTCAGTGACTCGCAGGACGGCGGCCATAACAGCCCGGGCCCCCAGAGTCCAGCTGTGACCCCCATCAGCCGAGGTACACACACACACACACACACACAGAAACTCGTTAAACATGCCTGCAGAGTGTTTCCTGTCGGGGACTCGCTCGCTGTGAAGTTTGGGGACTTCTGATCAGAGGCTCAGAGCACATGTGGGGAGCTGCTCTCTCTGTCCTGTAGAGGGCGCCGTTGGCTTTCACATGACTGACAGTAAGTTCACATCTGGAACCTTCCTGAGCAGCTGATCCAGCTGTGCACACGTCTGACATTTTTCAGGGTTTTTATCAGATTCGATCCGTTCTTTGACTCGTTACCTGTCGGTCATCGCTCCACAGACGCAGCTCAATTCAGACATGCAGTGACAGGTGCTCGTCTGCACAGCTGTTTGTGCACTTTTAGTCTGAACAGGAGTTTTCTGCAGGCGTGTTGTTGGCGTGTTACTCCTCAGCTGCACACGTGGAGCGAGCAGCCCTCTCACAGAAACCTTTGTTTGTTTCTTTGGAGCCTAAATAAGAACAAAGTGAAATAACAAAAACTGTCTTTGTGCTTTTTGGCCGGTGTGACGTTCCAGATGTCACATTCTTAGTTTGGGACCGTCGGGAATGCTGGCACGCCTTCAACCCTTTAAAGGGTTGAAGGGTTGAAGTTATGCAAAACGCTCCATTTTGCGTAACTATTTTTAAATCCCGGTAGCTCTGCAACCACGTGAGCTAGCGCAATCATTTTTTTTGCATATGAAACCGGAGGAGTTGTACTTACATCTTATGCCATCAGCTTGTCCTCGGTCA